AGGAAGTAGCAGTGACGCTCATGTGTACCGATGAGAATGCCTTCTCACTGACGGCGGTTTCTGACGCAAGCGGACAGTTTTCCTTCGCCGATATTCCGCTTTGTACTTACACTGTTGTCGTGCCTTCGGAGATTAATACGACCGAAGGAGCGAAGCCTATTTTCGAGGGTTATGATGATGATGATACCAAGACTACTGCAGAGATAGTGATTGATCCCACCACCACAGAGCTTGCCGGCGTGGACTTCGTTTACAAGCTGATTCCTTCCGCTACAGCCAGTCCTACGCCCTCTACGTCGAGATTTATTCCTGGCACAATCGGTGGATCTGTTGTTATCGAGGGCACAGAAACTGGAATCTCAGGTGTTGAAGTGACTGCGACATGTGCGGACGACGGGTCAGTCTATAAAGCAACTACCCAGGATGATGGCTCATATACGTTCGGAGATATGCCTGATTGTGTTTACACCATCAACGTACCGACTGAAAGCAACGGATGGCCAGTGGTAAGCACCGGTGTGACTGAGGTGGAGATCAGCCCAGAGAACCGCACTGAGGAGGTGAAGTTCGAGTACACACCACTCGGATCTATCTCTGGAGCTACTCTAAGTGACTTTGACAAAACCACTCCTATTGAGGGCGTGCTTGTTGAGTTGACATGCGAAGGAGCCGAAACTCAGACCGCGACATCGGATGCCCTGGGAAAGTACAGTTTCACGGAGCTGCCACCTTGCACCTACACAGTCACAGTTCCCACTTCAGTCGCTAATGGAGGGGACCTCGTCTCAGGCCCCAGCGACAGCGACACTAGCGCAACTGAAGTTCACGAAGAAGCGATTTTGGGTAATGATGTTATCGATGCAGACTTCTTCTACCTACCCGAAGGTACAATTGCAGGAAATCTACGGGACCATGTGACTGAAGAGCCACTTGCTGGCGAGACGGTGACTATCACATGCTTGGAGAACCCTGATATTACTTTCACAAATGTTACTGACGCCGCCGGCAACTACGAGTTCACCAACTTGGTTGCCTGTTCATATGCAGTTGTGGCTCCCGAGACTTCAACTTCCGGACCTATTTTCGCTGGACCAGAGGACCGCACCGAAGACAATAAGGAATTCAGCACCGTTGTTTACATCAGCCTTGACAATCCCGAGGAAGGCGATGTTGACTTTGAGTACTCGCAGGTGGGAAGTATATCTGGAGTTGTTTTCGTAGATGAGGAAGTAGCCGATAATGGACAGCCAGGAGTTGAT